TTGATTTAATTCCTTGGCCAGAGTTGGCAGTTTCTTTGAATTTTGAAAGCAGATTGGGACAGAGTGCACATCTAAGCTGTAAAGCGGCTGAAGCCCCTTATAAAAGTAGGAAAACTAAAATGTACAACTTTGACAAAAAAATAAAAGAAAAAATTAAAATTTGACAACTCTGATGAGCAAACTATTCAAAGCCAAGCCGTTGAAATGGACGGTTGTCTATTTAATGGAAGAAGCCCAGATAATGGAAAATACTCAGCAGATAATTAAAGCTTTTTGCCAAAGGGTGAACCGGCTGGGAAAAATCGCTGGCATTCGCAGCAGCTCCAGCTAGCAAATCTTTTGTAATAGAAAGCGAAAAAGTTCCAAGTAATATTAAAGGTTTGTTGTCGTTAGTGGAAATGCGACGACCGAAAGCTAGCGAAAACGAAGACCAACACGGCCGCATGCCATTCGAGCGGCAATTCAAAGTTAGAATGCGGTCCCGATCATGTGCCATTGTTTTCGCACACCGAAACGTCGCAAAAACTTCTGCGGTACTGACGGTACGTCGCTTTGATTGTCTTCAGCAACATCACTTAACTTGAGTAACGACCGATAATGCACTCTTCGGCATCGGGCCCCGATTCTGAACGATTTTTGCTAGAAACACTCTAGTTCTGAGTATTTTCGGTTCTCTTCCGCTTGCTCAAGCACTATTTGTTTAAAACCAATTTTTATTTTTGTTTTTCCCTTTCCAAACAAGTTTCTCTCAATTAAAACGAGATTTTGACAATTGTTTGCCCTACCAAATATTCCCTCGTACCCTCATTCGAATTAAAAAAACACAACTGGTTTTTCCATTCCGGGACGCAGTTGGCATCGGTTCTTTCACTCGCACCCACAGCAGTCAATCAGCGAGGCCTGTTGGGCTACGGTCGCTACGTTCCAACCTGACACCTTCACGACTTAAACTGTTTGGCTTTTGAACTGGACAAAGCGGAAAAAATATTTTTGCACCAACTTTCAATTACTTTGTTTACCAGGAAAGGCTAGTAAAGGCCAAATCAGCCTGCCAAAATTTCGATTTTCGGGCTATCAGACTTGATATAAAATCACTTTAAGTAGCTACGTATCTACTGTGACTCATCTGTAAGTGATTCTTTTCTGCTGCAATTAATTTAGTGAAACCTCCACATTCTGATAATTGTCGGTCTGATGTCATGCATCCGATGTTACCGAATTCATTCCTAATGTCTAAAGACACGAGAAATATGCTTTAGACAGGCACTGAACTGAATCAGTAAAGAATAGTCCTTTAGAACGTTCCGTGTAGTTATTTTGTGACACGTAAAGTTGCGCTCTTCCGGTAGTGTGAAGAACAATCGAAAATTCAGCGGACCGACGAATATTCTGCCCAGCCTGTAAATCAGTGGACACACCCCGAACTTTTCAAATGACAAGTTTTAAACGGGATTTTTTGAAGAACTCACAAGCAAAAACTGACAAAAATGGCAAGAAACCAACAAACCCTTTACAAAAAAATTGAGGAAAAAAAGAGTACAGTTCTACCAGCAAGAGTTTAGTAAAATGCAGAAAAATCAACAAAGCGAAATCGGAAATTTTTTTTTAATTTTACAAGAAAACGAGCACTGACAGCCGTAGTTTAGGTTATAGCAGTTATAGGGATCTATCAATGCACACATTTTTAGGCAAAAAAGTCTGAAAAGTAGAATCAGCTAAACCCATTCGGTTTTGATATATTTGAAATTCAGTTGGCCGCCTCGCAAGTGATGCATACTGCAAACTGAACACGCCGCCGCCATCTGTGCCACAGTGCGAAAACTAGCGGCCGATTGCTGCAGTTTTCTTCATGGATTGTGCGCGCTCCGGGTGCGGCACGAGACTCCCGGATTTAAATACATAATTCGCGTCTAATTGTTTAAGATTACAGGAATTTTCATTAATTATACCGTAATGAAATCGGTACGTATTAAATCATATTTAAGTGCAAAATTGGGCTCGCTAATCAACAAAGTATCGCCTGCTTGTTTGCGTTATTATAACGCGATTAGTTTGGATTGTTTACCAATTTACTGGTTTTTTTTCATATTTTGTGTATTTATGATTTCGTTAAATTGATTTAGTTAAATGAAGTAAATGCATTTACATTACAGTCAAAACGCTGCAGAATGTCAACACAGTGGCTCGAAAATATATTTTTAAATTGATTTGAAGATCCTTCCAGGTTTTTTCTGAGAAAACAAAGCGAAACATTTGCTTACCGAACTTCTTGGTGGGTTTGCGAGTTTAAGCGATTTTTCTGGGCAAATTTAGAAATATTTGTCAGGATAAAGAACACTCAAAAAACGTCAGTAAGTGACAACCATTTGACTTCGGCCCGTGCTCGGTAAACTTCGGCGCCGAAAATAAGCTACTCGGATGCTTTCAAGCGCGGTAAAATTGAAATATTCAAGTAACTTTCATGCGAAAATCTSCAATATTGATGAAACTGGTTGAAACCAACAGTRACRYTAATGAWWTTGTTCACTAGAGCTCAGTTCAAGTCAACCAGCGGATAATTAAACCGATCAGCAAAAAATGCTGCGAAAAATTCGGTGGAAGGCTTTATTGAAACTTTTGAAACAACAAGTTTCAAAACTTCTTCAAAGTGTTACCTTTGAAAGCACCCCAAAGCGCTGATTAATTGAATAAATATAACCAAGAGAGCGATGAACTTGCAATTTTCGGGGGAAGGGTTGGGCAAAGTTTAATTAAGCGAGAAAATACAGTACATCGTTTGCTTACCACATTTCTTGACGCCTTTGCCCATTTAAGGGGGTTTTTTCGTTGACCTACACTGTTTTCTGGGCAAATTTAGCCAGATTATTCACTAGAAACTGGCAAACTTTTGCAAAACGTCAGTGAATGACAACGATTCTACTTCGGCAGTGCGTTCGGTAATTTTCGTGCCCTGTTCAAATGGCATTCGGCTGAATTGCAGCGCGGGCAATTTGAATTTGAATTTAAAGACCCGAGAGATGTGTGGCTGTTCCAGTCCAACTTAAATGAGGCAAAATCATGTGATATTAAGCAAAAAAGTGAAAATTTCATTTCCAATGTTTGTTCACTTAAAATTTGCAATTTTTTTCACCCTTTGTTGAATAGCTGTTGATGAAATCCAAACAAAATCGACAAAAAATGGTGATCAAAATGTCGTTTTCAAAGATAAAAAAACGATGGGAAACGCCGCCTTAATCGGCGGCCATAAAAGCATATAAGAAAATTTCCCATGGATCCCCACGATTCCGAGAACTCCTGACAAATGCGACTAAGAAAAACGGTCAAACTCGCTTTTCAAACACGCGATGTACACTGGATCGTTTCAAAATGCATGAAATAGCCACGCTAGTCACGAAATGCCTCCGAACAGAACGAGAAAAATTATCTATGCTTTGTAGTTCTTATTTACCTACCACGAATTTTTTTCAGTTCAAGTTTCAGCAAACTGACCGCAAAGAAAGTCACTTTACGCTATAGAAATGAATAAATACAGAAAATGTACGAGATTCATTCTAATTGTATGCGAATTATTTTATAATGATTACTCTTGACTAATCCAAAAAAACATTCTTGAATCTGTTGCTTAAAATATATATTTTTCCTGATTTTCATCAGTTTTCTCATGTTTTTCCGATTTTTTTATTGCCAGCAAACATGTTTTTTCTTCCAGGTTTTGTGTGTTTTTCGGGTTTCAACGTGAGCAAATCGGGTCAGCTGCGGAGAAATTCTGAAGCTGCAAATTTGCCAAGTTTGCATTTGCTTCATTGTTTGCAATAAATTCGCGAAAAAACCTGGATTTTCTTCAAATATTCATATATTCAGCTACTTTCTTCTACCAATAAATTACGGAATTATTTTGTATTTGAATGAATGCATTTATTTGTTTTTAATGTATTTATTTTATTTAACTAAGACCATCTTGTAAAATGCAAAAGTGCACCTTGAAAACATGAAATTGCCTGTAAACTATTTGATGTGGCCACGCCAATCGACCTAAGGCGAAACACAAAACATCACTTTTAAGTTCGAATGGTTGAAGAACTGCCGTCATGTTTCCAACAAGCAGAAACAGTCTACAATTCGCAGACGGAACAAGGCAAAGCCTGCGGGCTATAATTATAGTAATAACAGATTGCATTATAAAACATCGATAAGTCGATTTCCATGCCATTCAAATCGGGTTTGTCTATACAGTTTTTATGTAGGTAGAACGACAGCCACAGTCTCAAAAGCCAAATAAAACCCCAAAAATGTTCCTATATTTGTGTGAAAGTTGATCATTTCGTCTGCTAAATGAAGTGCAAAATAGATCTTCAACTATTAGTTTATTCGGTAACAAAAATTTCTAGAATTGAACAGATTTTAAGGATTCCGTCGCAACAATCATCTTGCCTAATCGTGGAATTGCTTATTTTATAGTCTTTTGCGATGGTTGTAAAAAGGGCCAGAAAACAATGTTTGCAAGGTTTCTATTTACATTTGAATGCATCCATTTCTCTCTCTGCTCAGCTGTTGATGGTCAAAGTTCTCCAAAAAAATCTGTGTTCTATCGGGAGATGGATTTTTATGAAACTCGGTGTCTCCATGTGAAACTCATGTTTTCATAAAGCCGATTTTATCCGCTTTGGGCAAGTGAGGACTCAGTAAAACTACAGAACTTTTTGATTTGGTAGCTTGAATTAACTGATTTTTTTTGAGTTGATGCACTGATCCTTTCTGAACACTTTTTGGGCTGTTTGTAAAATGTTGTAGCATGCAAAACTTTTGAAAAATCATCAACATCAAAAAGCCGCGAAAAAAGTAAAAACCCGAAAACACTTCGAGAAAATTCGATTTTTTCACAAGTACACACTATTCCTTTCTGTGCTTTGTGGAGAAAAACTATTTTATTGAAATTTTTCAACGAACGAAAATCGCTTCAAAATTAACTGTCTTGGAAGTTGGCTGCAAATCAAACGCAATTCTCTAATAAAACGCTTTATTGAACAAAAACTTCTAACGAAAAATTAACAATAACACTTGGAGAAGTCTAAGTGAAAACAGACCAATTTGCTACAGTTTTTAGCGATTTTTTACACATAAAACACTGACTAAACTACAAATAATATTCTAGGCACGTTTAGGAGTAAACAAAAATTTTAGAATGTTAATTTAGAGTCTGGTGCGTTTCTCGGGCTCTTAGTCCGCCATGGAAGATAATTTCTTCCGGACGTTTCGCAAGCACAAATGGCGAACATCATCAGATTGGTGCTGCGTCCAGCAAACCACCGGAAGAATTTTTTTGCACAGCGTTCTAAAAGCCCGAAAAACTCATCAGTTTCAATGGCGCCGCGTGAACTCTGCTGTAACCCATTTGAGCTCCAAATTTATCGACCGAATTGTAGTCGATTAATATTTTACAATAAAATTTGTAATAATACAAGACTGTTGTAGTCAAGCATGCAAAAATTTCATGTTGATTACAAACTGAAACATCTGAAGAATCCGTCAGAAAGTTGACCGCAAGCAAGTACTACCATGTGGGTGTTCGAGTTGCGGGCGTGGCCTGGCTCGACCAATCGGAGACAAACTGTTAGTTCAAACTGAAAATAAAGGAGCAGACAAGATATCAGATAAATAATTATATGCGGTGGTTGGTCGGGTATTGTTCACTGTCGACCAACTGGCGCTTAACATTGTTGTTTAAACCATATCGACCGCCCCCCATCTATTGCCTGAAAAATATCTATATTGTAATGGCTGAGATCCTAATTTTTATTGGTAGGTACACTAGATTTGTCCGTTAAAAATTTAAAAAATCACAGCCATCTAACAGCCCGGACTTAAGCATCCTGGAGTTTTTGGCTTCTAAACAAGACAACAGCGCCATCA